ATGTTGTTTGAAATCTTGTTTTTACTCACTATAATATATTAAGAATATTTATGAAAATAACAATTTTACATTCTTCTAATAAATTATCAAACACACATATTACAAAATTTATTAATCATCATTAAAAATATTGTATTTATAATATAAATAAATATATCATTATATAATAAAAATTATGAATTTATGTATACTTTAACTAATTTTAATATATTAACTAGAAAAATATATACTATAAAAATAATAAATAAAAAAAACAATTATAAAAAAAAGCAAAAACAAAAACCAAAAGTTGCAGTTGAGAAATTGATTACTAGTTAACCAATATCTCAATGCATAAATGAAAAACAATTGAAAAATTTAGGTGAAAAATTAATTAGTAAGGCCAAATTCTTAACATAAATATTAAATGTAACACTTTGATAAATATATTTCAGGTATGATATTTTGGTAAATTTATTTAATTTTTGTAATATTTAAATAAAAAAGTCTCCACACGCACAAAAGATACATTGAATATTTATAAAATGAAAAATAGGCACATAATTTATAATCGAAGGACCTAAAAATTCAGTACAAAATTATACATTATCGTATTAGTTACAGTAATATTTTTAATGTTACGATTGACAAAACAAATATTGAATAATACATAATTAGAAATTTTATTTTTACCTAACAAATTATTTATTTATTTTTCCTTGATACAAGACTTCGCTTTTTTATGCATATTAAAAGACCATGTAATTATATAGTGATAGTAATTATTTTGATCTCCACATTTGATAGATTATTATACTCTTTTATTATTAATAAAAAAATTTAAAAAAATACTTTTACTAAATTCAAATTAAAATTCAAGATCTTGATATTTAATTAATTACCTTTATTACTTAATAAAGATACAAAGTAATTCGACCTTACTCATATATATATATATATATGCGTGAAAAGTGATGCATTAGATAGAGAGGATGATTGAGGTTTAGATTTCCACAATTTCACATGCTGACACATGTGCTCATTCCCTCTTGTGCTTGATTATTTGGATAGAATCATAGAACAGTGCAAAAGGGAGTGGGCAAACATATTTATCACAATGGTTGACCTTGAACTTAATTGATTAGCTATATATGATATATGAAACCTGTTTCCTTTGCGCCCTTTCCCCACCACTTTCTCATTGCATGGCTAGACCCCACAAACCCTATATTATACATATTGTCATAAGGTTTTCATATCATCAAAGATTCCCTAGCAATTAGCTAGCTCTCTCACAACTCACACAATCATGCACGGCTTTATTTGCCCTATATATAGGCATCCATGCAAGAAGTGGAGATAATATGTGTGTCAATTAACAGACACCTGAACATGTTTTTAGTTACAAGACATTTGAATGTCGTCCAAAACTTAGCTATGGATTTAATTTAGTAAACTTATGAATGCTCTGAACAAATTTTATTGAGGTGGGAAAAATTATAAAAGCAACAACAAAATTTCAACGAAAGCCTAGTACATACTATTTCAATCCTTTACCATCTAATAATTTTATGGATTTATGCTCTAAATGTTGATGCAGTAAGAATTTTATAACAAAATATATAACTAATTATGGCGTTTATCAAAATTTTCTCCTGTTCCAAATCACGGTAACCTTTCTGTGTCTTGTGTGGATGGTTGCATTAATGTAAGGGTCAAGGTCGAAGAGATCTAAGAATGAAGAATATCTCTTTTTAAAGAAACAAAGTGGCTTTATGTGGACAGTATCAATCTTCCCTAACTATATACAATGACTTTGGCATACTGTAAAGCACTTCCGCAACTCCCACTCGGCTTAAATTACGATTATATATGATAATGATTTTTTTATGCAACAGCTACACTACTGCACTCATCTTAATTACTACGTACTATATAATATAATATATGAAATATATAGCACTTTATAGTGTGTATATAGTATGAGAGTTTTTTGGTATAAAATATTTATTTGTACAAATGTAAATACTATACTACAACTTATATATGTTTCTTTTCTTTTTCTATCATATCTCATATCTTTATTATATTGACAAACTTTTTTTTTATCATTATCAATATATAATATTAAGATAATATATGTGACTCAATGATAATGAAAATATATTTCATTCAAGATCCTAAAAATACTATCATTTAAGTATAACTCTTGAAATATCTTTCAATAATAACTCTTTAAAATGTTTTCCTGTAGGTCCTAGGTCACACACATGGGTTGCAAGGTCCTAGGTCACACATGGTATAAAATGTTTTCGTGTAGGTCCTAGGTCACACACATGGGTTACACAGGAATTAAAGCAAACAATAATGCAATCAACTTGAAGTGAATTCCAGGTTCCAAATTTTCCTTTGGAGGGGTCTGTTCTTGCATCTCTCACCCCACCAAACAAGGTCGCCAACTTTAAGTGTTTGTGGCTTGACCTTGGTCTTTCTTTCCTTATGGTTTGTTGCGAACCTGGTCACGAAAAACAGAGTGCTCTTCCATCTGAATGTACCCTGCAGCTCGGGCATGGAGTTCGTCCATATCAAGAGGAGATCGTAGACACAGGCTGTCCACGAAAGGTCCAGGCTTGAGCGCCATGAGCATGGCGTGTAGGGCGACCTCGGGGTTCAATTTTTGAATCTTGACTGAGATACTGGCAAAGCGTTCCATGAACGCCCTTAGTGATTCGTCGTCGTCCTGTCTGAGACTGGCCAAGGCGGCTGATGTGACATGGTGAGGTCGACTCGTGGCATACTGCGCCGTGAATCGCCTTACCAGAGTGTCGAAGTTGTCTATTGACTCCACCGGCAGTTGAGTGTACCAGTTGAGCGCTGCCCCCTTGAGCGAGGTCGGGAAAACCCTACACAGAATAACATCTTTATTAGTGTATAGGTTTACCTGTGTAATGTACAGATCGACGTGCTCGTCTGGGTCTGTCGTGCCGTCGTAACGGTCGATGTGGAGAGGCTTCCATCCGAAAGGGAGAGGCGTTTCCATGATGCCATCCACAAAAGGATGACGGCGGAAGGTCGCTTGATTTCCCGTGACGTGGGCAGGAGCATTGCTGACCTCGTGGGCCGACCTGTTCGTCGGTGCGTGAGACCGATGTGTGACAGGTCGGGGAGTGGGTGCCCTAGGCGCGGTTGGGGGTTGAGAGACTGAGTGCCCCTCTTCCTCGTGTTGGTTATTCGATGGAGGGGGTTGATCAGAAGGGCGCCGAGGAAGCTGGGCGCGAATACGTTCATTCTCGGCGCGCAGCGCTGCTAGGTCAACTTCGGTAGCGGTATGCAGCGCCGCTAGGTCAGTTTCGTGCTTGGCACGCATGTTTCGCAGATCGGCGTCGTGTGGTTGTCGCATCTGCTCGACCTGTTCTATCAGTCTTCTCAATGATGCTGCGTCACCCATGCTTGTCGCGTGATCAACGTCGTCTATTGCTCGTCTGCTATGGCTTCTGGTGAAAACCATATAGGTGGCCGATAAGAGTCGTCTTGATCGGCCCCACGGTGGGCGCCAAATGTTCTTACCGGAAATCTGCTGTAGAGCTGATCCGCCAGGTAAGATCGGTGAGCCTCCTTCACTGGTACGTTGATGCTCCAAGATGGGGGTGGTACCTGCAAAAGAGACTTTGATGCTAAAGTTAGGGTTTGTATGAGTGTGAGTCTCGTATAAATAATGCACGTACCTGGGTGTGAATTAGGGTTTTTCTGGGCCTTGGGCCCGAGATCAGTTATGACCTAATTGGATAGTGGACCTCGTCTTGGCCGAGGTCGCCTAGCGCGTATTCGAGGTCGTCTTGCGCTGTGATGCCGAGCTCGAGTTCGGTAAGACGATACGGATAGTACAATATATATATATAT